TTTTGAAACATTTTGTTTTTACTTTCTCATTATATTCCCTTTGCGTGCGTTGATGAAACTCCAGCAAGTGAAGAAGATACAACAATTAATGGTTCTGCCGTTTGCAAAACGCTCACCTATTTGGAAAGCGCTTGAATCAATGGAAGTCTATAAAACAGCAACGCAAAGTCCCCATTTCATCCCATTGCTCAAGACAAGAGAAGAGTTCCGTGAAGGGTTGGCTGTGAGTGAGATGGTGAACTTTTTCAGTTTGTTAGAGAGGGTAAACAATCTACAACTTCTCACTCCCAAAACACACTTGAGGGACTCAAAGACTGCTTTTCCGAGCTATAACAATCACTAAATCATATATAAATGTTTTTAATTAGCTTTTTAAAACACCAATATTTTAACTTAATATAAATTTTTAAAACATTAACAGTCATACAGTATATGTATAAGCTTTAAAAATTAACAAGGTAATTTTTGTAAGCTTTACACATGATTTTAATTTTTGTATATCCATTCATAGAAATTTAAAAAGCTTTACACATGAACCAAGCAGATAAGCTAAATTGGAAAACGAAGTAGTGCGTAGCTCCAACGGCAAGTTCCCAAACCCTAATGTTATAAGATTTTTTTTATACACAAAAGCAATACCAACTTAAGCATGAAAAGTATATATATATATATATAAAATACCCTATTATCAAAATTCAAGAAAATAAACAAAAAGAAGAAAATTCTTTCTTTACGTAACTAATACATATCCACACATTTCGTATGTATATATCCTATCTTACACGTATGTATCCATATTACATGTATATGTACACATATAGATATGCGTCATGATCACTCCATTCGAATACTATGTGTGTTGGAGATAAGCCAATATTATATGCATCATTGATGATGATGATGATGATGATGATGATGATGATGATATCATTTCGGAGACAAGCCATCAACTAGACACTGCATAACCTTAACCTGCATACTAAGGCACTTGATGTAATGAGCCGTCTCTTCCATCAGCTTTGATGTCTCCATCGCTCCACCTCCCGGTACAAGATTCCTCAGCCTCTCCGCATCCTTCTCCTCCAATGGATCTCTCCGGTTATTACTCCTCCTCCTTAGCCACGTCACCCTCTTATTCCTTCTAGAAAGTCCTACGACTCTGTTGTTTTCTTTGGCGGCTCGGCGCAAGAGGGCTCTGCTCCATAGACGATTAGTTCCTCCGGCTGCTCTGGCCATGGATACATACGCAGCCTTCTTTATCTTATTCACACGATGGTTTGTTTTGTCAGGAGAATTGAAAGTGTGTTGTCTTCTAAGATTTGAGAGGGATTGAAGAAAGTGGAGGGCAAAAACATCCTTTTCAGGGACGTCAGTGTTTAAGGGTTTGTCTGCAGAGGCCATCGTTTGGGTTGAGAGAAAAAAAGAACTTGAGTTGAGAACCTTTATAAAAAAATTTGTGAGAACAGCACAATATTAGGGTTAATAAATAAAGGAGATGAGAGAGACTGAAGAGAGGGGAAAATATAATGTTTATTTTTTCCTTATACTTAAACTTTTGTTTTACATATATGGTTTTTTATGTCACAAGACACACAACTATTCAGAATTCTTTATAAAGTTATAAAACTATATGTATACCTAAAAGTTTTTTTTAAGACCTAAAATACTTTTCTTAGATATATAATTGTTAGTTTATGTGCTAAATATGACTAGACTTGAAAAGAAAAACATGAAGAGATGACGAGAAGTAGATGAGCTATATTGGCTTTTGATATATTGGGTTTTCGGAGCTTAACTGACCCATCGAATTTAATTATTTGCATTGAAATATGAGATTATGAAGTTAACAGATAGTTTTATCAATGGTGACTACCAAAATATGAAATGAAAATATTGTATAGTATTACTTCGAATTTTTTAAGACTCGTCTGTTGTGGTTTAGTATACTTTAATAGATGTGTTAGGCCATTACATATTATAATTTAAAATGAAATATGAAGTTAGTATAATTAATATGCACCTAGGGTTATAAAGTCTTGAATAAATAAATAGACATTTAGTGGAAAATAATGTTTTGGCTCGAAGAAAAGGGGGATGCCAATAGATTAACAGAACTTGGCTATTTTTTGACCAAATTGAAATATATTAATATATAACACTAATGTTAGCATTATACTAATAATAATAATTTAGATGATGTTTACGTAAACGCAAAATAATTAAAGCCCTTTTGGCTCATAGCTTTGTATAAACGGAAAAGGAGCAATTAGGAGCAGACATCAAATTATGGAACCTTATATTTATGCTTATTTGTTTGTTTTTATAAAAGGTTAAGTTTAGTAACGAATGCGTATGGGTTAATTAACGTGAACAGCTAATAGAGACGATTATGATTATTTTAGGTAAGCTATATATCTTATCTGATGTGTATGTGTATTTATGTGAACATTGGTTGACAATTAATTAATGACGACTGGCATGGAATGATTCTGAAAAACATCTAAGCTCTTTTTTTTTTAATCTAAGCTCATTTTCATTGCAAAATAATTAACCAAAAAAACACATATTTTCAATTTGTTGAGTAATATTCACTTGCTCGATATCTTACAAGTAAAAGCACAACACAACGCTACAACCTGAACCGGTTGATGTTTTCTATTCAAACATGATCGAGTTGAAGTTTAAACTATGCGTTAGCTCGGAAAGTAAACCCAACTGAGAAAAATAACTATGATTTATCTGAGGGAAGAGTGTTAATAAACGTAATACCGCTCGCATCATCAAACATAAAACGTGACAAAAGGTAATCAACTACATATAAAATATTCACCAAATCACCATGCAACAACAACAACAAAAATTACATATATATCATAGAATATGTATTATGAAATTTATAAGATACATAAATTCCTGGAAATCATATTTTGCAGGCACGAAAATGAAATTTAGGAGTCAAACTAGACGAATAATAAGATTTATATAAAATAATAGAGATTAGCTAAAAGAAGGAGTTAAAGAAGTGGTAGAGTGGACCCAGTAATGGGCCAACCACCACATGAAGGCACATGGCTATGGCCTTTACCCACCCTCCACTTTCCTTTCTCTCTTATCTTTATCTTTTAATTTATGCTTTAATTATTTGATTAATATTAAGCACACCAATCGTTTTATTTGATTCTCCACCTCATTTTTCTGTAATTGATAGGTTTAGTCGTTGGCGCTAACTTTAAATATTCACGAATAATGTAAACACAAAATAGAAAAGAACAAACAGTAATAATAGTGACAACTAAACGTGTGAAAAAGTCATGTCATCACTGACGTCTTCTTTCTATTGTCAGTTGTTTTATTATTACGTTTGTAAGAAAAGAAGACGGCTGATTAAGCTTGACGTTACAACTGTCGGCGAACCTGTAATGGCTGACGTGGCTCCGTTATTCTTTCTCCGGTGGATAACATGACGGCGCTAAACTTTCTTTCATTTTTGTTTTTCTTTCAGACGGGCCAAACCAATAAGGCCATGACTCGAGAACAATGTACAACTATAAAGTAAATTTAAACACTATAATATATGTTTTTTTGTCAACTAATATATGTTTTTTTGTCAACTAATATATGTTTTTTTATATCGTGAAGTATCTGTATCCATAATTTTGGGAAATTAAACCACATGAATCAAAAAAACTACAATTCCCTAGTTATCCAAAATCACTCATTCTCTTCTATTTTTTTCTTCCTATCTCTTTCTATCCTTTCTCTACAAATCTAATTTAAATTTTTTGGTTATTTAACAAATAAACCCTAAACTTTTTTATGTTTATTATATACAAAAAGGTTACATCAACTTGACAAAACTATATAAAGGGTTTAAAAGACCAAAGAAAAAACAATCAACATGAAGAAAATAACAATTTAGCTAATTTACTTGAAGACTTTTTCAATGGAGTAGCTATGGCCCTTTCTATTCACAGAAAATGAACAGTTGGTTGAGAAACCAGCCCAAATGGAGTAGTTTTCGGTGTAGGAGAAATGTTGTAAATTACTAACACATAAAGGGAGGCCAGAGATTAAAAAGCATATATAGTCAGAAGACCTAGTCGTGTGAGGACCATTTGCCAAATGAAATTTTACTTAAGTCACGGTGAAACATCAAATGGTCGCTTGTCTCAGGTTGAAGATTGCAAAGGTAGCAAGATAAAGAACCATTCAGCCCTTCATGCAACAAGACGAACCCGCATAGAAAGTAATAATATGAGGAAGTGAAAACATGTTTGGTGTTTGGTCAATATGACTTTTAAACTAAACTGTATATCTGTAAATATTCGCTTAAACATTTAACCTAGTAGACTAGAAGATTTCTATTTTTCGATGTGATTCTACTAAAATTAATCTAACTAATTAAATATCACAATAAATTATTTGTATATATCATTTAGTTTATTTATATAAAATGAAAAATTCAGTGAATACCTTAACTACTTAGATTGTCTACGAGATTTTTTAAGAACATAAACTGAAGATATTATATTTCATACAACTAGTGTATTTTACAAAGTTGATAATATCGGATGTTTGAAATAATCAAATGTGAAACATGTATTATATCTTCAAACATGTATAATCATAAATTATAATTCAAAAACATAATAATAGATAAAATTTTAAAATTATTAAATAACATTAAGATAAAAAATGTTCCAATTTAAATTTATTAAATTTATGTTAACTAAAGATCGCGTTAAACGCGAATTTAAATCTAGTTTTAATTTATTTGATATAAGTTAGAAAGTGGCGCACTACAATTGTAGGTTTTCTTTTAGATTTAATTTAGATATTCATAGTGTATACACAATGCACTCGTTCAAAAATACTACACTGGTTGTATCGTATAAGTTTGTGATTAACCAAAACAAATGAAAGAATGTTTAGTTTTAAATTGTACACGTCTTATATAAAAATTTGTTGAATAGTGGCTTTGTTATCTAAGTGTTTAGATATGTTTATTCGGGTCTAGACAAAATTCTTGTAAGAATCAACAGAGAGAAGTTCATATAAAACGAATGGAAGATTAGAGAACATGTTATGATTTTGGCAAAAATAAACAAAAAAAAGAGAACATTGTGAAAAGTTTGAAAATGGAAAACATGAAGTATTTGTGATATGTTTTTATCCGAATAATTAATTATCATATTTGATTCGATTCGTAGATATTGGATATTCGATGCTCCGGATATCTAAATTTTTTATATTATCTACCAAATCTTTGATTCGATCCGTAAATAAAATAAAATTTAATAATAAACTAAAATTCTATAAATAATACAAATGATTATATTTTATTACAAATCAGAGTTGTTTAATTTTTAAAATTCTAATAACTAATTCAATAAATTAATAAATTTATTTTAAACTTACATAAAAATAATATATATTTAATTTATACATATAACATATCAAATATATGTTTCAAAAAACATTATGATTTATAATTTAATTTATTTTTACGGATATTGCATATTAATATTTGTTTTATTTCATAGAATTATGGATATTCTTTTTTTGTTCGCATCGAATCAAAATTTAGTTATATTTTTGTCTAGCTAATGTATATGTATAACGTTACGAGTTTTGTTGGTTCTAGATTGCTAAAATTTAAATAAGCCAACATAAACAAAAGGGTTGCACGTGGGTTTGGCCACACACATACAACATAGTCATATACATAGTAATGTGGCCAAACAACATATAGTCATATACATATGTAATTCGTTATTTGATTGTTTGAGTTGAAAAAACGGAACCGTGAAAAAAGAAAAGGTGGGCCAATCTTGCCTATTGTTAGGGAGGCAAGATTTTAATACTCAGAACGAAGACTATTTCCTAATTAATTCTTTTACTTTCATTTAAACTATTAGTCATCGTTTATCATTTTCTTTTATTGTAGTTAGTTGGTATGAGGCTCACTCTCGCACAAAAATACATACTATCTTTTTTCCTATCGTTTTCAAGTTACAATTTGCAAGTTTCAACGAGTTCATACCTCTTACATATCTGGAAGTTCATGTAGGATGTTTTTTGACTAAAAATGCAGTTTGTTAAAATGTTGATTTATAGTATTCGGTGAGAGAAACTAATAGAAAAAAAAAATGTCTAAAATGCAACCGTAAGTATACTTATTTACACCTTTCAACTTGCATGGCCAGAAGACACATATGAATTTAATTAACTACTCATAATTTTTTTAATTAGCTAGCTACTTTCAGTTCAACAAATATTTGGTTGTAACATGTGCACATGAAATATCTCCCAAAAATACTCAAAACCATCGCATGTCATCGCACCTTAACAGTTTGTACTGATGTAGACATTCTTTATTAATCGACCAACCATTTGACCAAAATTATTCAGTAAAAATGCTTATGACCAATAAAGATCACAATTAATTATTTCGTTCTACCAATAGAGTAGTAGCAACAATCCAGATAAAGCTACAGTGAAGTGGGTAATCGAACCACTTGTAAGGCTGTGAAAATCAGACAGTCAATGATATGACAAATTGACAATAGACATTTCACATAGTTCAACAACCAAAACTTCTCTACATGGCCTCTCACTTTAGGAGGAGATAGATATATACAAAACTAGATATTGACAGATAAATTAAAGTGATTTATGTTTATACAACTAAGTTGATATATCAGATTTAGGGGAAAAATAAGATATTTCTGTTTATAAAAGTTATATTAGAAACAAAGTGCAAATCCAATCAGATGTTGATAGGGAGAGCAGGAAAAACCAAGTACATAAATAATTCAATGTCTACTACAATCGTTTATATGCTCCAAATTTAGAAATAGATGGGCTTAGGCCTTATCAATAGGTAGAAATTTCGGTTCAACAGTTTGCATAGTCTGGTTTACACTTTACTAATTTGCAGTTACCAACTAAACCAAAAAAAAAATGAAATGAAATGATTCTCGACAAGTTTTTATATAGAGATATATCGTGAAATGTATAACATTTTAGTAGTATCAAACTAACAATACATCCAAATTTTATTCGCCAACCTTACATTTTCACAAACAAATAATAGAAAAGAACATGGGATTATTTAACACACAATTTGCATTAATCAAGAAAGTATTTAATCACATTTAAACTAAGACGACTATAAAACCCTTTAGATAATTGCCACACACCCCAACTTACACTCACTTCACAAGACCAGAGTCGAAACTAACCCCCGTTGATGGCAACCACATCGTCCCCATAATGAAACCAGCCACAGTGAATCCTTCCGCTTCTTTCACCGTTAAAGAAGGATGATATCCAGCCCATTTAACCCGACCCGAAACTGATGATCCAGGACCCGTATTCTGAAACTCTCCATAAAAAAGAGTTTTAAGACCAAAACTACCCGAACCCGACCAAGGAGACCAACCAGACGGGTGGATCGACCCGTCGAGGAAAGATTGCATCACCACCGTTCTTGAATACTCTTTCCACGGCCGGCCAAGATACGTCAACGACTGCCCCGTGATCCTGCATTTCTGAATGGAGATTCCGGTGTTCTGCTCCGGGTGGCTCCGCCCTTGCGCCGTCACGAAGTTTCTCTGACCCGGTAACGGCTTCCGGGCGACGATGTTGCAAGACTGGAATACGACGACGGAGTTTCCGAATATGAAGTCCACGGTTCCGGTGATGTCTGTGTCTCGGTAGAATTGTCGTTTTGAGTGTGTGTAGAGTGAGTCTTGGTATCCTTCGACGGAGCAGCGATACACTACGGATTTATCTGCTCCGACGCGGAGAGCTACAGCTTGCTCCGATTTGGGTCCGGCACTGTTCACGAATGTTATGTCGCGCGCTATAAACCCTTCTCCCATAGCAGCTTCAAGATTTTTTAAAAGAAAACAAGATATTCGTTAAACCGATCTTAATCAAGTTAAAACTGTACCAAACCGAACCAGGACAAAAAAACACTAAATTCAGTTTTCTTAAAAATATTTCATTTTGTTAAGAAATATTTTGTTTCATTCGATTTATATTTTTTATAAAATATAATGCTAGAATACTTCATTCGATTTATACTTTTTATAAAATATAATGTTAGAATACTTTGTTTCACTCGATATATATTTTGGAAAAGAAAAATGATTAGAATAAACTTAAATTTTTTTTTGTCACAAATATAAATCTTAAGAATTAAAATGACCAAAATAACACTTAAATATTTTATTAAATATACAGTTATACCTTTTGGATTAACTAATACTAGATTTTTTTTATTTAGAGATGAGGAGTGAGATTTGAGGGATAGAGTTTCAATTTTTTTAAAAAAAAAACTTCAAATTTTCAAAATAAAAAATATTATTTTGGTCATTTTTTTTGATAAAAATTTAAAAGAGGGCTATTTGAAAGAATTTTCCTTTGGAAAATCAAGAAATTCTTTAAAATCTGATAAACATTTCATTTTATTCGTTTTTAATGTTGGTAACAAATATTAGAGCATCCACATCAATGAACTCCCTCTTGGGGTTCATTGATTCAATTGTTTATTATTAAAAAAAATTGATTTTCTTTTTGATTTTTTTTTAAAAAAAAAAAAAAAAAAAAATTGACCAACTGCGGGTCGCCACGTGTCCCGGGACCCGCGCTACAGTGATGAACCGGGTTCACCGCAGAGAGTCTGCAAAAGACAGATTCATCACTATTCCTTATTTTAATATTTTTTCTTTTTTGAAAAACGTGTGAACCCCCTATCTGAACCCTTGATGGGGGTGCTCTTAGAGCATCTTTATCCCTGTATTTTGGGGGGGTTTCTTATGATAATTGTCATTAAAAATAAATAAAAATTACCCATTTAATGAAAAACGTCGCTTAATTAGAGCATGCAAAACAACCGTGTCTTAAAACACGCGTCGCACATTCAAGCTATCGACTCTCTCTCATCTCTACTCGAGCTCATCTCTCTCCCACATCGTTCACTCCGTCCGTTTGAAAACCATGAAGAAGAGCGATTGATCTCTGGTCAGAGGACGATTTCGTGTCTCCTCCTTGATCTCTCGGTGGTCGCCGTGTCTCTCGGAGTCTCTCCTCGAGGTCTCCGCATCTGTTTCTCCATTGACGATTAAACCATTGGTCTCTCTCTCGAAGGTTCTCGTCGAGAAAGTATCACTCCACCTCTCCCGAGTGTGACTCTTCCATCAGTGTCTCTTCCTTCGGTGGCTCGGTAGCTCCACTTGACGAAAGCAAAACGGTGACCTCTAAAGCTCTGTTTTTTGTTTCTATGTCTGAATCTTTTAATTCATGGTTGTCTTAAATTGAGCTTACATATCGGTTGATTTTTGATTAGGTAGATTGTGATTCTCAGTAAATCCTGCGCTAGAAACCTCTGCGTCTTTCACCGACTCTATCGCCGCCGGTTGAAGTTAATCGACTTCTCTGTCTATCTCTCTCTTTCGTGTATTGGACAATGGTGAGCCAAAGGCAAAGACTTGCTAAGATCTGTTCTAGAAAATCTGAGTAGGAGAGAAACAAGGTTTGCTTTTGCTGTCTTCTTGATTGGTATCTTTGGTTTAGGATTAGGGATTTTTTAGCAATGTACAGACCAATTCTCGTGTTTATATCTTGGTGAGCAGGTTCAGGCCGCTCTTGTCTGAATCAGTCAAGAGTTTAGTTGAATTTTTTAGCGAAATTGATGTTGATTCATTTGTGATTTGTATTGAAATTCATTTGTTATTCTCAGTGGTTTTTATTCATCTCTGATGCTCAATGAATTTTTTTTCTCTTGTGTTTGTTTCTACATATCTTTTATTTGTGAGGGAGATGGAAGGATCCACGAAGAGACATGAAGGCTCGGCTAACAAGTAACTACAATTGCAACACAGGTAATAAAGTTTCCTTTAGCTTCACATTGATCAATAATGTTTAATAATCTCGTCTGAAATGAATGGTTTCTCAATTTGGTTTGAATTGAATACTTGGTAATAAATGTTTAGGTTTGTGAGTGGTAGATAATGGTTGAGTTAGATAATAAATGTTTAGGTTAGTGGCAGATAATGGTTGAGTTACATAATGGTAAGTGTAGGTAATGGTAAAGTGTAGGTAATGGTAAAAGTAGGTAATTAATGGTAGATAATGGTCGATGTGTGAGTGTGATTATTGTCTTTAGGTATGTGTCTTGTCGAATTGGTTGAATATGATGAATGCTGTGATCAATGGTGAAGAAGTGCTAGTTTCTTTCTCTTCTATTAAAGCCATCTTTCTTCTCTTCCATTTTTCAAACACGCCTTCTTAGCAACAAAACACATTTCTTTTTCTTCTGTTCCATCTCGCTTATTTTAAAAAATCAGATATGGATGGTACTTCATATCGATTTGTTGATCTTCTTCAAAGCCAAGGAGATATTAGCTTCAGTGTTGGATCTTCTGGTATACCTCCTTCTCCAACTCAAGCTCCAGAAGTCACTAACTTGGACGAAGAGGATGCTCCAGGGCGTAAAGAAAAAAGAAAGGTGTGGACACCTTCAGATGATGTAGTTCTGATCAGCTCCTGGTTAAACACCAGTAAAGATCCCGTGGTGGGGAATGAACAGAAATCTGTTGCTTTCTGGAGTAGAATAGCAGCGTACTACACTGCTAGTCCCAATGTGGCTGGTGAAAAAATAGAGGCCAGTCAGTGCAAGCAGAGATGGCACAAGATAAATGACCTAGTGTGCAAGTTTTCTGGTGCTTATGAAGCTGCCAGCAGGGAAAGAGGTAGTGGTTGGAATGACAATGATGTTCTCACGCGAGCCCACACGATCTACTTTACCATCCATAAAAAAAATTTCTCCTTAGAATATGCTTGGAAGGAACTGAGGAATGATCAAAAGTGGTGTGACCTTTCAACCGCAAAAAAAGCTGGATCCTCGAAAAGGAGGAAGTTTGAGGACGGTAGCCATTCAGCAAGCTCTCACGCCAATGGCTGCGAGTCTGGTGAAGATGATCAAGTGACAAAACGCCCCCCGGGTGTTAAGGCTTCAAAGGCCCGAGGCAAGCAGACAATGGCAGTAGAGAATGAAGAGTTTCAGAGTATGTGGAGCATTAAGAAACACGATTTGGATATGAAATTGATGTCCTCTAAGCTGAAACTAGTAGAGAGTCTGGTTGCTAAACAAGGACCTCTTGCTGACTACGAGGAGGCTCTTAAAAAGAAGCTCATTGTTGAGTTTTTGGATAATAATTAGTCTAAGTTGCAAGGGGTTCGTTGTTTTAAGTTTCAAGTGTTTCTAGTTTAAGTTGCAAGTTGTTCGTTGTTTAAGGTGTTTGTTGTTCTTGTTTGAGTTCAAGTGTTTCAAGTGTTTCTGTTTTAAATTAAAGTGTTTCAAGTGTTTCTGTTTTAAATTAAAGTTCAAGTGTTTCAAGTGTTTCTAATTTAAGTTCAAGTGTTTCTGTTTTAAATTAAAGTGTTTGTTGTTTCTTAAGAATAGTTCAATAATGTTGTTGTTCTTTTTCACATGCAGGAAAAGCACATGTCTTGTGTCAGGAGGAAAGTCACAAAGCCTGCTTACCATAAGATAGCATCACGGATTGTTGTTCTGTTTCACATGCAGGGAAACTTGCTGTCACAAAGTCACAGACTTGTTGTCTTGTACATGTGCATTTTGTAAGATAGCATCACGGGCTTGTTGAATTTTGTTTCACGTGCAGGAAAACTACTGAATTTTGTAAGAATTATTAGTCACGGACTTGTTGAATTTTGTAAGAATACAATTGTATCAAACACAAAGCTTGTGTCTATATATTGCACAACTTCCTTTACTTTTACATTACAACTTTCTCTCAACTCTCTCTATATTGCGTACAACTTCCTTTGCTTTTACATTACAACTTCCTTTGCTCTTTGATTACAACTTTCTCTCAACTATTTATCTTTTCGATCACAACTTTCTCTTCCTTAAAACTCAGCTTCTCTCTTCTTTTCCTTTTTATGGCTTCTTCCTCTCAAAACAATTTAGATGATTCTTTTGATGATAAATTTGATGAGTTCTTTGATCAAGCTTTTGATAAAATGTTGATTCATTGTGATCAAAAAGAAAGAAGAGCAAAAAGAAAACCACGAGCTTATATCGAAAGAAATCGTGAGGAAGGCCATATTCGTTTATGGAATGATTATTTCAGTGAAACTCCAACGTATCCTCCTAATATCTTCCGACGACGTTTTAGAATGAATAAGTCATTGTTCATGCGCATTGTTGATCGACTCTCCAACGAAGTTGAATATTTCCGAGAAAAAAGAGATGGTCTCGGAAGGATTAGTGTCTCTCCTTTTCAAAAGTGTACCGCAGCTATTCGTGTCTTGGCGTACGGTTCTGCAGGTGATGCGGTCGACGAATACCTCCGCCTCGCTGAATCAACAACTCGGTTATCTGTGGAAAATTTCGTGGAAGGAATAATAAATTTGTTCGGCGATGAGTACTTAAGAAGACCAACACCGACTGATCTCCAACGTTTACTCGATGTTGGAGAGTATCGTGGATTTCCCGGGATGATCGGAAGCATCGATTGTATGCATTGGGAGTGGAAAAATTGTCCCACCGCTTGGAAAGGCCAATATGCTCGTGGTTCAGGTAAACCAACAATCGTTTTAGAGGCGGTTGCGTCATACGATCTCTGGATATGGCATTCCTTTTTTGGATCTCCAGGTACATTAAATGATATCAATGTTCTTGATCGTTCACCTGTTTTTGATGACATAATAAATGGTAACGCTCCGAATGTCACTTTCTCTGTCAATGGAAGAGAATATCATATGGCTTACTATCTGACCGATGGTATTTATCCGAAATGGGCAACTTTTGTCCAATCTATTTCTCTACCACAAGTGCCGCAAGCAGTTCTAT